TGTGTGTGTGTGTGTGTGTGTGTGTGTGTGTGTGTGTGTGTGTGTGTGTGTGTGTGTGTGTGTGGTGACCAATATAGACTTAGGAAATAAAACTGATTCAAATAATATTGGTACATTTTTAAATTCAATGCAATTTAAACCTTTATCCACTGATATCAAAACCCACCAGAATTACAATGTATAGTGCCACAATAATTGATAACATTTTCACAAATATAACAAGTGATGAAGTAATAAATGGTATTTTGACAACTGATACTGTATAAGTGATCACTTACCAGTTTTTATGATTTGTAAGAATGAACAATACAATATAAAAGCAGTCACAGTTGAGAAGAAATTAATAAACACATCAAAAATGCTTTAGATAAATTTAAAGATGATCTGGGAAAACAAAATAGGAGAGAGGTGTATGTTAATTATATTAACAGAGCCTGATGTTTTCATGAATATTTTAGGAGCTCTGTATGAGAAGAATTGTGTGCAAAACATTTACAATTAGACAATACTATTGACAAACTATGGATGACAAAAGGATTGAGAAATACTTCTAAAAATAATTACTTGTATTCTTGTTTCTTGAAGTTGAGATCAAAAGAATCAGAAGAGAAATACAAGAAATATAAAAAATAAGCTAGTTTGGATTATTAGAAAGCATAAGAAGAAATATTATAGTGATTTATTTGACAAAAGTAAAAATAATATGAAGGCAACATGGAGAGTAATGAATGATTCACAGCAGAGAACAGCTGAATAAAGTTTRAAAGTCGTCTGAGCAGACCTGGAAAACTCCGCTGTCTGTCTGTTAGCAGCAATGTCTGGAGCGAGCCCCGGCTACAGCTTAGATCTCCATGCCGCAGATCAAGTGCCTCCCCCGGTCAAAGCGAGTCAGGCAGACCGCCTGGGCTCCACGTCCAGGGGGAGAAGCCAAACCCACTTAAGCCTGAATGCATATTATCAGGTATACAGATGATAAGTGCTTTCCAACCTACTAGGAGGTAAAGGAAGGACAGTCTGCAGACATTTTAGAACTGATAACCTCTAATAAGAGACATTTATTGGACTGACCACATTCCACTCATAGCTGGTGGTTCCTGAATGTAGTGCTGTACCAAACGATTATTTTCTAATAGATTAATCTAACGATTATTTTTTCGATAAATCGATTATTCTAACAACAAATCTATAAGTTATTCTGATGTGAGTGCACTGGATATTTAAAATGTTTTCATCAAATTAACAAGAACAGTTCTTTAATATTGTAATATTTTCTGTAATTGTAATATTATTGTAATTGTAATATTTTCATGGAAAACTCACCACTCTTATGCCAATACAGTCTCAATGATGCTTTTAGGTACCAAAATGGAATAGCATGAACATTCACCTCGTGGTTATGTAATACAGCGAATCGATAATAAAAAAATCTG